ATTTACCCACCAACTCTAGAACATCCTGTTCATAGGATCAATCTCTTCCTTGATCTTCATCCTCTCTTTGATCCTTCTGTAACGATAATGATATCGTTCATCTCTTTCTGTTCTTTATCCTCTCACCTCTATATCATACTATCTCCGGGTCATCTCTCTCTTTCCTCTTCTCTATATAAGCGCGTGTTTTATTGTGAAAGAGATACATTCTGGTCATGTAGAGTAGTCAATAAACATCTATACCGTGAGAAGCGGTCAGCTACTCAACCAGTTTGTCGTTACACCTTCAAGTTATTCAACACGTTTTGATTTATTGGTCGTCGTCATTCCTTACTGTCCCACTAATTGATATTTATTTAAAACAAAAAAAACTAAAAATTCTCTTTAGGTGAACTTCCTCCTTATGATTATTCCATTTGGAAATTAAAAATAAAAATAAAGTATAAAATAAACTCATTCGCTTAAATATTGGCAAGCGGTACATGACTCTTAGATAACAGATAAATCTACCTTACTTTCATTCACAGTCGATCATCTTTAACATAAATATTCGAAATAAAAATTTTATCCATTGCTCAATATAGATGATAACAACTTTGTAAATCTTGATTAAAAAGACGTTCTTCATCATCAGGGATAAATTCTCTACTACGCGACCAGAATAATGAAAAACTATTGACATCTTCTATCGCACGATTAAGAGAATCATACTCTAAACGACATTGAGTAATAATTGGTTTTTATTTTTTCTGAAACGATGATTTCGATGCCCGAATTCATAAATTTCCGGCATTATTGGAACATGGAAGCAGTATTCTGACCGGGGATTTTTGAATTTTCTTCTATGATTTTCTGCTGCTTCTTATGCCGAATGATCGATATGAGTCATTGTATCAATTTGATTTGATAACTGATCGATTGTAAATGAACGGTACATTCTGATTTTGATTTCAATATAAGATCTGTTGACTATCAAATTGAAATCAGTACTGAAATTAATAAAATCTTTCATGATGAATATCAGTCTTTTACACTCAATTGTAATAAGAAAATGAATAATTTCTCTCCGATGTCTTTTTGAGAAATAGAAACAAGGAAAGCTGGAACTATTATTTGTGATAGCATTCTAGTTCCAGTATAATTCAAATGATCAACTAAGATTACTTTTCATCAAGGACAATACAAATGGAAATATGATATTTAGAATAATTATTTTTGTCATTCAAAGCACAATAAAACTATCAAAATCAGATCTAAAATGTGTTCGATAGCTGGTCCTCTTTTCAATTACTATTATCACCATATTACTTTGCGAGTTTGTGTAAAATCATCAAATTAGATTTTTTTAAGTCTCTTAATTTTTTCTTCGTCGATAGGTAAGTATAAATTTATTATTACTGAACAAAATTTTTCCAGGAAAAAACAGGTGCTTATTTAAGATCGAAAAGCTTATGTTAGAAACGATGATAATCATATATTTTTCTTTTGCAGAGAGGAAATAAAATGCATTCATCACTGATTCTTATCATCTTGAGCGTTCTCTTATTCATGCAAGCACTCTTCGCCAGTGCGCCAGTGCAATGGCCAACATTTGGTGGTAATACAGCACATACTGGATTCATCCCTATTGATTTGAATATTGAACAAGTCATGGATGTAAACAAATTGGTTTGGACACGTAATTTGACTACTGAACTCTCTTATAGTACCATATTTGCTAATACTTTACTGGTAACAAGTACCAACAGTTTTACCAATGTGAGCAAATTATTTGTTCTGAATGCTTTAACAGGTTATATGATTCATACAATTAATTTAACTGCTGCAGACAGTAATGAACCTGCAATTGGAAGATATGAATACATGGCTTATGTCCAGACCATTGGTACTGTACGAGGAATCTATTTACAAGCTATCAATTTGATTACAGGTGATATCCAATGGACTGCAGTGGCTGATACTCAAGGGTCTAAGTATCCATATGGAACAACACCTGGATCAAAATATATTTATATGCCGGGTGGTGTATACAATGAAGAATTATATGCTGTTGATCCGTATAATGGTAGTATTATTTATCGTGCCCAAGTTTTTCCTCGTACTTTCGCTTGTGACTGGTGGACTCCGACTGTGTACAATAAGAGAATATTCATTCATTCACAACCAGGTCAGGGAACTTTAGGTGGCTTTGGAGAAATTAATCCAGATACTGGCCCTGAACTTTGGAGTATTGTATTAAATAATACATGGGATGGATATTCAACGTATTGGGAACCTGTCATTATGAATGATGTGGCCTTGGTTTCTACTCGTCAAGAATCTTTTTCCCTGCAGTTTCATGGGCTGCATGTTAATTCACATGACATTCTGTGAAGTTATCCTTGTTCGAAGGTTCCTCCCATTGTAAAAGGATCATTCCAAGATTATACTCCATCCACAGATGGTGTATCAGCTTATTTTACCTGTAAAGATGGAATACATCAAGTTTTAATTAGAAGCGGTAAGCTACAACGACTCTTTGCTTGCAAAAATTGTGCTGGGCAACCGATTGTCACAAACCATCATTTGATCATCAGTAGCAATGGTAATGGAACGATTATATTTAATAAGGAATCTGGTCAAATATCGATGCAAGTAGAAGAAACCGGTAATTTAGCGGTCCATCCCCAGGCGAAAATATTATACATTATAAACTCGGATACTGGCATGGTTGTGGCCTATGCAATCTAATTATTCTTTAAGAAGATCGAAATTTCGTTTTAAACTGATCTTCTATTATTGAGTGGTTTAGAAACAAACTTTAGAGTTTAGAAAAATATTTTTTCTTTGAAAAATCAAATTCAAACGAAATGATTGATGAATAAAGAAAAAAGAACTCGTACCAACGAGTATTAGTACTTACATTGAAAGTCCTTTGACTGCAAAATATCTTCGACAAAACTTTGATACGTCAACGTATTCAAATGAAGATTACATAGGCATTAGTCCCTATTTCAATTTGATAGAAATGAAATTACAGTAAGATGCAAAAGTCTTTGCCCTCGCTATTTCAAATGTTTATCAAAAACGAAATGATCAGTATAAACACAAAATATATACAAAGATGAGGTACAGTTGAAGGTATAACATTATCTCATTTAATAGTTGATTCTTTCTCCTTTCGTTTCAATCAGAGCTAAGCATCGTGATTTCATAGAATTTACCAAATGATTTAGGACGGACATGACAGTTTTGGCCCATTCTTGATGCAAAAATAGATCTAATTCTCGAAGATTTGTTGGTTCTCGTTTCTCGACACGACGCTTGATGATAGACCAGAGATTTTCCACTGGATTAACATCCGAGCTATTTGATGGCTAATTGAGCATTTCAGGCACTTCTTTCGACATGAATTGTTGAGCTACCCGACTTCTATGCTCGGATCATTATCCTGTTGTAGTCGCCATCGTCCGCCAAATCGCTTTCTAGTATTGTGAATAAGATGATCTTGAAGAATTTGAACATAGTGCGGGCCATCCATTATTGTATTGAACGAATGAAATCCCACGAGACCTTTGATACTAAACCCTCCCCACACCATAATCCTCTGTCTGTTCTTTGGAATTCGCTTGACTTCAGATTTCGGATTTCTTGACCATCGACGGACAGTATTACGAAACAATTGGTCGCAGGTTTCGTCGATAAATATCGTTCTGCTGCAGTCATCGTTTTGGTGTTCAATTGCTCATTGAACACGTGCATCCTTTTGTTCTGAAGTCAACATTGGTGCACCTTCAGGCAAAGTACTTTTATAGCTAAGTCGTTGGAGCTGACGTCGCACGGTCCATCGGGATACGTTCAGATCTGGGTCACGAAGTAGTTTTTCTGCTAATTCTTGTGACGTTATCTCATTATTCCGTCGAATCCATTGGCCCAGCGCTAGGTTACCATTAGCTGTCATTTTACAAGGTCGATCAGAACGCAATATGTCCTCGATTGTACCTTGTTCTTTGATCTTGGCAATATTATATTTAATAGTTTGAAGTGGAATCTTTGTCATACGAGCAATTGTTTCAGGAGATCGTTCGCCGTTATTCCAGTGATATAATATAGCTGAACGAGATGTTTTCATCGACGTTAGATTACGTTGTTCAGGCACCTTCTCGCAAAGAAAGAATGTTCACAACGGTTCGTAATATGCATAGACATATATATATATCTCCCGACACGTGTCAGACAATCCTCGAAAAATCTCTCCATTTACTTCGATAGATATATCGTGAACGAGACAAGCTATGATTAGGGCAAAGATTTTTGCACCTTACTGTAGATTGTATCCTTGAAAGAGACAAAGAATCCTTTACAATAACGAGCAATCTTTCTTATGACGTGTTGTTTCGTTTTCATGACTATTCGAAAATATCATTAGACTTCATCTGGTGTATCGATTTTCTATTCGATCATATATTCTAGTATTTAGCCCATAGAGAAAAGTCTTGTATACCGGGTGGTGCAAAAGTTTTGCGACATTTTGAAAAGTCTTTCTTTCACATTCGCGTGTTTACATAATTGGTTTAATTTATATGATTTCAGTAGATACTAGTGTCCTCTATCACGACAATACCGTGTAATTTTTTGATCATTCTTCTGTTAATCTTCCCATGGTTAAAAGTCACGATACCCGAGATGTTGTTATTTCCCATTACAAAAAATGGGGAAAGGCTCCAGAAATTGCAAATTGGTTGGCGAATAAAGTTCATCGAAGTACTATTGATCGTTGGTTACACCGATACAAACAATCTGGTTCGATTTATGTTAAACGAAAATCAGGAAGATCAAGAACTGGTCGTACAAAAAGGCGCGTATTTATCTTGTGAAAAAAGACTTGATTCCAACCTTTCTCGAAAAAGCTTACGAACGATAGCCAAAGATTTTAAAACTTCTAGTCGAACAATAAAGAGAATACTGAATATTGATCTAAAGAAAAAACGCTATCGGAAAATTACAGTTCAACACTTGAAAGAAGATCAAAAACCAATACGAAAATCATATTGCCAATGGATTAGAAAGAATGATGTTTACCGACGAGAAAATTTTCACCAAGAATGGTTACTTCAATCCAAAAAATGATATTGTATGGGCCGATGATTGATCTGATGCTAATGAACGTGGTGGACTTCATTCCATGGAAAAATATCCCGTTTGTATCATGGTAGCAGTAGGTGTAACGTGGTATGGACTTACACGTCCATACTTTTTTCAAAAGGTGAACGCCTGAATGATGAAACCTATCATGATCAATTATTACCATTTTACAAAGAATAAGGTGACCGGCTATTCGGACACAAAAAATAGGGCTTCCAGCAGGATGGCACTAGCTCCCATACTGATAATAAAGCTCAAAACTCGTGCAAAAAAAACTTCGGATTCTTCATTCCAAAAGAAAAATGGCCGCCGAATTCACCGGAACTTAATCCGCTGGATTATTCTATCTGGAATAGCATCTAAACTAATGTGGCATATCACAAGGTCAAAACAATCAACGATTTACGTCGAGAAATCGAAAAAGCAATGAAGAAAGTTGATGTTTATTATGTACGAGAAGTGATTAGTCGTTTTCTCCAACGAGTATATTCAGTAGAAAAACATGGTGGTGAATTGATAATTGATGAGCATAGTTGATTATTGTAGTACCCTGTCGTAGCTTTCGAAACATTTTATTATTATTTTATTTGTTTACTTTCTCTTGAAATAAATGGATTTTCTTGAAATGTCGCAAAACTTTTGCATCACCCCGTACACATACACTTGTGTAGTGTTTTAAGTCGTCTATGCAGTGGTGTATGAGTAGTTCTTGGATAATGCATTATCAGCGCGCAATATGGCTTCGTTTCTTTAATTTTATTTTGGCCCCAGGAAAATCTTTTGATCTTTCCTGACGGTAAGCCGTATGATAGTATCAGAGCTATACAAATGTCTTGCAGAGCTCTTTTCTTAATTTTCTCGAGTAATATGATTAATGCAGTTGTCCAAAAAATTTAGTAATGACAGGATGGCAGGTTGAATAACACATTACTATACAAACGATTAAGTATGTGTTCTCATTTAGAAAACCCTCAGATGCAATTTCTATAGTCTTTCTACAATTCGTAACTGTCATTCAATGTGTATCCGATCCAATTAGATCATTTCAAAGATGTCGCAATACAACTGAACTCATGAAGAATGCTGCTGATTTGTGGTGGTCAGTAAATGATGTTCGAGATGAGATCACCTTCGAATTACATGCCAAAACTACTGGATGGGTTTCTCTTGGTCTCGCTTTAGCTATGATTCGACATTCTATCAATATAAGAAAAATACATAACTAAAAATCTTGCTAAAAGTCAGTTTTTTCGTACAAAAATGCGTTCTGGAAATGTCTCGGGTTTGGAATACATATCACAGAACTTGTATCTCTTTATCTGTCTTACAGCTGGAGATGTGACGGTGATTGGGGATATGGCCATTGGTTGGATTGCTAAGAATGGAAAATTATATTTTCAGGTAAAATCAACTGTTGTTGAAGTACTTATATTTTATCATCTAATAACTAATAGGATCCATATAGTCCTGGTTTTGTTATATGTTACCAATTATACATTCGACAAGTCAAGATTGGTGTCGTTTGCGAGATCGAGAAGAAAACAATTGGACAGCAATTCAGTTCAAGCCTGTATTCAATACAGAAGATTCTTTGCACATTTCAATTCACGTAAGATCTTTTGGGTGTTTCCATGGGATTTCTACCATTGTTGCATGAAGTATTTCCTAACAACGCGAAAATTTCAGCGTTTGTAGAGTTCATTGAGACGATCATTTTGCTCGGTTTAGATTTCGTAAAATGTCACAGCATCTTTGCTTTCCAAAGCTCAACTTTTCACACTTTTTCATATAAAATGCACACTGATGTTTTTCGAAACTTTTCCTTCTTAGCTATTACTTTCCATATATTTTTGTACTTAAAGTTCTCTAAATAGGCTAGTTTCATTGAGCTTTGTTTACACTATCTGGAGCTAGTTGCTTCAGACTCTATAACTTTTCAAGAAAGGGCACAAGCTCATAAGTCTCTATAGATACACCTTGTGAATGGCTATACATTTTCGCTAATAAAGATCCAGTTTTCTAAATTCTCCGAATAACAGACACACAGGAAATGATCGAGCGGAACTTGCGCTACAAACTGGTATACATGATTTCTCGGGAGCATAGAGAAATGTTGTAACGGTAAAGATAGAAACTTAGTTGAATTTGGACATATTGTTCTACTATTTGACCACCGTGATTACTCGTAAAACTAGAAGACTCTGCAAGAGGAAGCACTAGACTATGTTTGCCTACTTTAACTAATGAGTTTTTACCTGAAAAAATAGGTTACACGTCAATTTAACGATGGTGAGATGATGCCTCTTTTACAGAGCATGTCTAAAGTAAGATCTTTTTCTTAATTTTTGCTTTTCGTATATAATTCTTTCAATTTCCATAAACTCTAATTTCTAATATAGAAAATATATTTTATGAACAATAGATATGCACACCGACTTTTGTTATTGAAATAGTCAATTCATGAGGTGACAGCTTCCATATAGTAAGCTCCTCTGTCCTATACCCCCACAATTTACACCAAACGTCGAATCAGGTTCTCAATGTTTGTTTAAAGTAGTAAAGTCGGAAGGGATTGATCTATGATAAATACGATGTTCTTACGATCGCGGCGGTTTTAATAAATACTTTTGGCGCTAAATTGGATAGAAGAAGACTGATGACGAAGAAAAGGATAAGAGTCATAAGAAATCTCATTGTGCTGAGTGAATGATTATCTCAAAGCAATAGAAATGTACTAATTGATTCCATTCAGTAGTAAAGACATTAAAGACAAAAACTGTTTGAGTTACTATCCTCCTTTTACAAAC